GGTCTTTCCCATCAAATGCATCACTTGTATACAAATAATATAAATCTCAGCAAGGCTCTTTTCAAGAATTTACTCAGACAAAGTACAAACATGAATGTGTGCTCTGGAGCATTGGGCTGCACCATAGGAAAGTGAATATCCAGGGGAGAGAAAAAAACTCTAAAAATATTTCTAGACGAGGATGTTGCTGGAACTCTGGAAAGATGTTTATTTGGGGGGAATCGCTATGTGAATGAGCTGATCTGACTCACGGAGAGTTGATTCTAATGCAGAATGTGATAAAGGACAGGCACCCTACGGTTTCCTGTTGAATAAACTTGGATGAACTGAATGGACAAGGCATGAGAGGCTCTGGAATCCTTAAGTTCCTGATTTAGAAACAATTGAGAAGTCCGCATCTGAGAGACGATAAATATAAGGAGTAGGTAAAATGTTGTCACATTAATGCTAACAGCTTCACAGAAGCCTGATACTGTTTAGGGAAGGAGGATCTCTGGGTGGAAATGCTAAATATCTAAAGAGAGACACAAAGGAAATGGCTCTTAACTACAGCCCATCCAAAGAGTGTTAAAGTGTCCTGCTACCACACTACATTCTCTCTTCCCACTTTTCTACAGATTATTTTCCCCTCCCCACTCCAGGATTTGGCTATATATGACTCTAGTGCTTGCTTATTAACCTGGGTTAAATAAAAGCATTTTAGATTTTTCCAGGTAAAATCTTCACCTTTGAAGGATGGGGGCGCATGTAGTTGTCAAATTTGCAGTTTTGCGGAATTCAATTCTTAGTTCAGTAATATCTTCAAGGTTGCAAAGTGTTGCTACTTGCCAATTCTAAAATTTAATGTTCCACTTTCCTCACTTGACTTTTATTTCTTTACGATTTCAGCTGAAGCCTTCCTTTGTGTGTGCTTGTGTCTGGAGGGCAGCTCAAGGAGGACTTCCTAATTCTGTCAGGGTACTGGCAAGCTTTCCCTTAAGACAACAGGCCCTCAAAGTCCTCCCCGCCTCGTGGGATTCTGGCGGGTGCAGCGCACGCCTTAGAGTATTGTGAAAGGCATATTTTTAGCAGTTACAGATAATATTTTTATTTAAAACACTTAACCTCTTTAACTGGCTGAAGCAGTATTGAGGGCAGCTCTAAGATATTTGCTTATGCTCCAAGGGCTTCACCTGCATAATTGTGCCATTCCAATGAATCATTTTGAGACTAAAATTTCCAACTTCGGCTGACATTTCCAATGTGTGAACATCTAGAAAGAATCTTCAATGCCAAGTGTTCAAAAGCTTTTCCATGAGTACTTGTTGGAGCACAGTTTACCCAGGTAGAGAGTCTTTGAACAGCAATGTATGAGGACAAACCACAGGCAGTTAAAGAGGGAAGAATGTGTCACACACTTGGTTTTTCCATCAGAAACCCCTCCAGTTGGACAGAAGTCAGAGTCTACAGCTGAGAACAGTGACTCCCAGGACTCACTCCGACCTCTGGAACCAGGGTGTCTGGGAGTGGGCAGTGGGCGTTTCAGCAAGCCTCCCGGTGGTTCTGACGGGTGCTCAGTGTAGGAGACAGGAACATGGACCACCTCAGATTTGGGAGGCTCTGTGTGCAGAGCTATGCAGGGACAGTTTAATTGACTTTGAAATTCTGTCCCATGGTTCCAGGCCACTGAGCTGTGGTCTTTCCCAGAGAATTACCATTTTGCTGGAGTGGGAAAAGTTAGGAGTTCACATTCTAAGCACATGATAGTGGAAAACACCTGTGGACACTCATGACAGAATGAGATAAAACACTATTATAAAAATGTTTTTGATCTTGAGGACATCTTGAAAGGGTCCTGGGGACCCTTAGGTTTTCTTGAACCACACTTTGAAATTGCTGTTTAATACAAAGAGCTATTTGTATCCAGAGCATTCACCAGTTGGTTAGGCAGAATCATTCAGACAGTTACTCTCAGTGTAATTTCTAATCATTTTATATGTATCAGTCTTCCTTTACTTTAGATTATAAACATCTCTTATGTGTATATTTGTTCTCTGTAGTATCTGATTTTAAGGCTGAACACTGTGTCCCTGTTAGGTACAGAAATGTACAAATAGTAACTTAATAATTATGGTCAGATTGATAGTTCTTAGGTATAACTCTTTGCAAAAAGAAGGACCATTGGATCATTTCTGGTCATACTACAGGTATAATTAACCAAGATAGTTTACTAATAGAAAATTTTAAAATAAAAATTTTTTATTTAAAAAATAGAATTCTTGGGATAGAAATTTTTGTATTATGTTTATTTTGATTTTTAAAACTTTTAATCATTGAATAGAATGAATTTTATCTGATGTTGTTTTCAGCTTAGTAGTCAACCCTCTGTTCCTAGTCCCAGAATACATGGATTTAAATCCCAGTTCCAACAATCAGCTGTGTGAACTTGAATAGATTTTTCACACTATGTTTGGTTTCCTTAGCTATAAAATATGAAAAATAACAATATTTACTTCTCATAGGATTCTTGTGATGCTGGAATGAGATAACACTTTTAGGGTGCTTAACATGGTCTCTGCACATGGCAGATGCTCAAACATTTGTTGGACAAATCATTGTTGGAAGAACTCTGAGTGAATATTGTTCATTTTATGAATTCCTCTTTTTAAACATGATTGTCATCGACTGCATTACAAAATCATTTTTGGAAGATTGGTTCTGTGTCTCTTTTCTATTTAACCCTCTACTATTACCTTTGCTTCAGTTATTTTTTATGTACTTTTTGAAGTGTTTCACATCTGGGCCTTGGAATGTGTATATGATGTGTTTTTCAGGTAAAAACATCAATTATCAGAGCAATGTACGCAGCCACCCTCTGCCCCTGCACTTCTATTCTGAGTCCCCAAATTAAGTAAACATATTGTGATATTATTACAGCTTCCTCTGAGTTATTGCTTTCTTATATTAATAATAATCTTTTGGGGATTGTGACCTAGGCTTTTCACAAAGCACCCATTTTGGAGATGTTTTAGGTACTAAGTTTGCCTTAAAATTTTTCCAATCTGTGTCTTCACTTTAAAAATGAAAATTAGCTAACAGTCTGTCATGAGACCTTTCCCTCTTCTACAACTGTTCTCACTCTCTCCACACCTGACATTAGGCACATGTGCCTGAGAATGACCCTTGGTTTCTTCTATGACTCATTGTTAATCATTATAAGGAATAGCTCCATCAGTTCATAAATTTGAAGTAAACTCAATTTCCCACACAGTCTGTCAGATGATCATCAGCACACTGTTTGGGTTGATTCATAAGCTCTTAAACTCCCATTATTTGGAGGAGATTTGGGGTATATTGACAAACAAATTTGCACATTTTAGGTTTGTTCAAACAAGGCCTACTCTGTCCTCCAGCATACATAAGTTGACCTTCTGCAGGCATCTAGTTCACAAACTAAATATTTAAACTCTGAGCCCATTAAGTAAGTGCAGTTTATCCACCTCTCATGTTATAATGAGACTATGAATTTGGAAGAATCTTGCTCAGTGTAAAGTCAGCATTGCCTCCTAAGAATCTACTGTAAACCAAGGTCACTTAGCTGGGGATTGCTATAAACATATACAAATCCCCCAAACAAGGGCATGATGTTAAATCACAGGGAGTTGAATAATTTTAAAAATGCATAGCATCCTTGTTCTGTGAGGCAGAAATCATTTACCCAGGCATTCTTGGCATATTTACTTTTCTAGAAGAACTTTAAGATTATATTGTAAATTAAAAGAAAAGCCACTCATGACTTTATTGTAACAGCACGTCTTGTCATTTGTGCAGTCTCCTCTCACAGAGCGCAGGAAGTTTTTCATGTAGGTTGTTTTACCTGTGTGAATAGGACTTTGGCATTATGCTTTTATGGGCTCCTTGTGTAATATTTTAAATTTTTTTATTTTTATCCCTGAAATAAAACATAAATCATATTGACCACATTAAGGTGTGATGCAAGTTCATCTCGTCAATTTTCTTACCCCTTAAAAACTGTTTTAAAAAACCAGTGTCCTAGTTGCCCATGGAGATGAAAGTATAGACGTTCAAATGAACTACTTGAAATTACTTGAATCATTGTGAGCCTTTTGAGAATTTATTAGGTGGGGTCCGGAGAAGCCCTTAGGGTAGGGCTAACTGAGCCCCATTAAGCCTTCCAAGGGTCCTGCCTGAGGCCCACGTACGACGTGGGGTTTCCTCAGTAGCTTTCCTCTTCTCTCTGTGAACCCCAGGAACTTCCCTGCCTACTTCCTTCCAGTAGTTCTTTCCCCTGTCTTATACATGGCAAATAACTACTCAGCCTGCTCTTTTAAGGATTTCCCTAAATCTAAATAATAATTATACCACTGTCCCTTGATGTATCAAGATAAAATATTATCTGTCTGTCTAAAACAAAGTGTAGATAAACCACAGTTCCCTGCTTTCTGTCCTGCTCTGCAGAGGCCACTGTTTTAATTAATTTAATTTCTTCAGTGGTTACCTCCATTCTCCTAAATAATATATTTATATATCTGTTTCTTGACTTGTCAACATTAGACACGATCTCTTGACTCCCTGCTGTAATAGATACGGATTTGGTTCTTTCATACTTAATCCCATATTTCCCTTCTTGCTCCTGATAATAGACTTACTTCACAATTTTAATTCCTTTGTTTTTCATTTTTACTTGAATCTGTGTTTCTGGTTCCATCTATGATGTGGTATCCCTTGACTCCCACATTGTATGGAGAGGATGTTCCCATCCTTACCCTGCCTTCCATATTCCTTCCACATTCTACCCCCCATCTTCTCTCCAGCATATTTGACATTACCAAGGCAGATGCTACTCTGCAGGCATGATTATTTTCTATGTTTTAGTGAAAAACAAAACTTCAGATAAGTTATTTGTATGTAAGTTTCACCAGAGAGCCAGTACTGTGGGATGATTAATTTTTTTTCTTAGTGATTTTCCAGTGTCATGACGCCATACCTCTCAAGGGAGAATATTGCTATTATTAAGAGGTTTTTTTTTTTTATTACTCCTTCTGTAGACAGTCTTTTTTATTTCTCTCTGAAAGTTATCTGGATATTGCCTTTAACCTTGGTATTTTGAAAGTGCATAATGAATTGCCTAAGTGTAGGTCTCTCTTGTTTTATCTTACTCAGAACTTGGTGAATCACCCCATTTTGAGGATAAGTTACCCTTTAACGCTGAGAAATTTAGTAACTGTTTCTTTTATGAATTACTCTTCTTTGAGTTTCTTCTTTTATGGATTGGTTTTCTGTGTATCTGGATTGAACTTCTTTGTAGCTTAGCTCTCTTCCACCAACATCCCCTCCTATATTTTCTGCATTTTAATCTTTTAGTTCTGCTTTTGGGAGATTTATTTAACTTTATCTTTTAACTTTAAATTATTTTTTATCTCACTTTGTTAAATTTTAAAAGATCTTTATTTTCCTCTGGTTGTTATTATTTGTATATTTTAAAATTTTAAGGCTAAAATATTATTTTGACTCCAAGGATGCTAATTAAAATTAGTTCCCTAATTTATCTGGATTTCTCCATTTCTCTAGATGTTGTGTTAATTTCTTCCTGTCGGCCTTTCTCTTTGTGTTGCAGATTTTCCTCAAATTTCTAGTGAGCCTTGGTTGTCCATGCACACCTGCAAGTGAATGTAGAAGGAAAGTCTGAGAGCTCCGTGACTGTGGATGGGACTTGTCAACCAGCAGCCTTTGCCTCGGTGTAAGGAAGGTAAGTGGTCATTACACTGGAGGACCAAAATATTGGACTGAGGACTTTATTCCAGTTTTTGACAGTTCTTTTTGCCACTTTAATCAGTTTATATTATACCTTTCACATTATACTTGGATGTATACTTCTTGGCTCATACATTGGAATAGGCACAGTAATACGCCCTACTCTTCTTTCTTTTCATTTCCCGTACGTTATCAGTTATATCTTTAATTTTACATTAAAATTAAATTCAAAATTTATTCAGAATGTAATTTCTGGGTGATTTCTTATCAATGTATTCTATAATTTGAACCCAAGATGTATGTGTTTTTATATAATATTAGAACTATGTAAATGTTGTTCACCACGGAGCCAAGGAGTGTGCTAGTGTTTTATTTCCCTCTCTGTGTGGCCACCATTACACACATCTCACCAGATTACAAATATCCAAGTCCAAAGTTTGACCTTTTTCTGCTTTCTATTGAATGTTCACAATTAGTTCACTTTTTAGTTTACTTCATAATAGAACCAGGACTTTCTTACACAATTGTATTTTTCCTTGAATTCCTGCCTGTCATTTTTTTTTCTTTTGGGAGAAAAAATATACTTTCTTTCCTATGCACTAATTTTACTCAGCCCTTTAGTTATCCTGTCTTTAACTTGGAATCCACTCCTCCTTTTAATACATTTTTGGGGGCTGTGAAAGATTTTGCTTTGTATTTTAAAAACGAATCTGATGTAAAATCTTTTCTATTGGCAAAATGTCTTGTATGAAAATCTTAAAACGTTTTTTAATTTGCAAGAGAATTTATAGCTTTTATACTAGTTAGATTATTTCTAAAAAGATTTATAGTTGGTGGATTAATTATCATAAGATTGGTGAGCAAATTCAATTTTTAAGGATAAAACATTCCAACAAGTGCAGTTTTAAATAATAAACTTAGGTCACAGGTTACAGTCCATGGGAGATGATTATTTGCAAATGATTGGAAACTTTTTCTCTCTTGGTAAACAGACTTGATAAAAACTGAATTCCTTGATGACAAGATACAAAAAAGTATAAATTAAATTATACAGAAACTTCACCCACTTGGCTACAGCTTTGTTCCTCCGTGTAAAAATTTCAGCCTTCTCCTTCATTTGTAAAACAAAGAGCTGTGTCAACAATCGTTTTTGCTTTCATGGTTCTAGTTTAAATACCATTTTGCCTCATGACATACGGTTTCACCGGTAATTTTAAACAAGACTGAAACAAAATATTTGGGGTTTATAATTTCCTGTTTATTTGGAGCCAACTGTTCTAATTTAGAATAATTGCTTTCAAGGCCTGTTGTCCAGCAGTCATTCTGGATTTCTCTTTATTGGTTTCCTTGGATTTCAAGCTGTCTTCTTTCTTATGTTAACTCTCAGTTTTCTGGACAGTGGGTCTCGTATAACTCCTTAGAATCTTCCTTCTTTTTCATATATCTGCATATATCTATATTTTGCCCTTATTTGTGATTTATAGTTTGACTTGGTATAGAATTTTAGGTTAAAAAGAGGGATTCTGGCATTTTTATTTGCTTGTGCATGATTAATAATTTTGGTTTATTTCATGATGGTCAGGGAATGTAATATATAATTTCTCCTTTTAGGAATTAAGGTTTTCTTTTTCATGTGCTACAGGGTCAGTTTTTTTTGTAATTGTTACCTGGACGCTTGAAAGGAGGTGCATTTTCTGTTAATAGAGTATTAAGTTTGGTAAATATTTCTTATAGAAAACTTTTCAGTTATATAATTCAGATTGTTTACATTCTTATTTATTTTCGCCTGTTTTTTCCATCAAGAAGTGCATTAATTAGACAGATTTTTGTATTTGTCTTTCTTAAGTATTTAGCATATTAACACTAATGACATATACTTATTAAGAAATGTACCATTTATTAATACAAAGTGACACAATTTTCCCTCATAGAAGTGTTTTAATTTGAATTTTACTTCATTTGATGTAAATATTGTGATCTGTTGTGTTTTAGTTTGCAGTAACTGTGAATCTCTTTTTTTATATGATTACTTTAAAATTTCTCAGACTGTTATGTATATTTTTATTTAGACTGTATAAACTCTAATGTTGGAATTTCGTCCCATTCTGAGTGTTATTTTTATAATTGTTATAAACTATTCTATTATTATTATTGTTTATCCATTGTTGTCATAACTGTTTTTGTTCTCACTTCTGTTACTTTATATTTCTTTTTGCTTTTTTTGATTTTTTTCTTTGTTACCAATATTTTGCCATACCAACTTCATTTGTTTTTAATAATTTAAGGCTTTATATCCTATTTTAATTTATCTAGAATTTAACTTTAACAACCAGAAATCAAATAACATACATGGTTGTTTATATAAAAATGATGAGGAAAATACCTACTTTTAATTGCTTTAAATATCCTTTAACCCATTTTGCAGTTTAAGTGAATTTATGATTGAAACCCTTTGATTATGTTAATTATTGTTAAAATATTGCTTTCAGTATGACGTATATCATTTAAATTACCTTTGTGTATAAATGCTTTCTATGTTACCAGAAGTCATTTAATAGCTATTTTTATGTTTTCTGATTCTTTAGTTTTATTCATTTTTAATATAAACTTAAAGGAGAAAATATGCCATGTGAATGGTATAATTGTAAATTTGTATATATGTGAGAAGCTTTTTATGTTGCTAAATGCAAAATCTTGGGTCAGAACCGTTTTGTATCCAATGTTGCCACTGTATGGTGTTCTAGCACTTAATGTCATGGAAAAACTGATTTTTTAATAGATACATTTTTTTTCCTGTCTTAATGATGTTAGAATTATTTATTTTTCCTTAAAATGTATAATTTTCACCAAAGTCTGTTTATTTTCTTTTCATTAAATTTATCTGACTCATGGTGAAGTATTTTAATTCTTAGAATTAGACTTTTCTCATTTCAGTAAAGTTTTCTTCTTTTATGTTTTTTATTATTCAGTCCTCCATTTGCCTTGTTATGCACTGGTTAGATCTCCTGTGTCAATTTTCCTGTTCATAGTCTACACTCTTGTCAACTTAATCTTCTTGTCCATTTCTTTCCATTCACAGAGAGCTCCATATTCCTGCCTTCTTTATCACTGATTTTACTTTTTTAGGGTTAATTCTGATTTTTACTGCTTCTGTGTTCATTTTAAAGTTAATACTAAATTATTTTTGTTTCCTTAAAATCTTCTATTTCTCACGTAGCCTTAAAATTTTTTCCCATGCCTCCTAACCCCCTTCTGTTTCATTTCAGTCATTTGTCTTCTCATCTTCTCTCTTATTTCACAGATTTCATGTGTCCCTGCATTTCCTTGAGAATATAAAGCAGATGCTGTTTTAAGTTGACTTGAATTATTTGTGGTTAATTACTTTAAAACCTTAGCTCTTCACACCATCCTATTTTGTATTATTACTATTGTTTTGAGGTAAACAATTCTGGGACAGGGTGTCACCAAAATTTGAAATGTGCCTCCAAAGATTGTTGGTGAGGTCTTCTTGGATTCCTTCACTGTTATTGGGATGCTTTTTGGATTCTTCTATCACAGCTTAAGCTGAGGTTCTGGTTGATACACCACCAGTTCAGTGATTCAGGGAGTGAGAAGAGAATCAGAATCATGGGCTGACCTGAGATGTGTGATTTCTTCTCTTACTTGGTGAAACCTGCTATGCCAGAGGCCAACTCTTGGTATCAGATTTGTCTGTCCTCCACTTTAGTTATAGGTGGAGTTTTATTTGCCTCCTTCTGGATACTCATGCTTACTGGGTCAGCGAGAGTTTGAGCCTGGGAGGAACTCTGACTAAGTTTGTGTTCTGGAAAGTCTGCCCTTGCCCTTGGACCCTCTCACGGTGCTGCTTTGGAAAGGCTATTCATTAGTAGCGACAGAGTGGGTTCCCCTGGAGATTTCTTAATCTATCCTATAACCAAGTTAGCATGTTATTTATCATTCAAATCAGGATACTTACTTACGAGAATTAAAGAGGACTCAATTGCAATTAAGCTGGAACAGCGTGTGCAAACCCAGACTGTCTCAGCTAACTGGGGCATGTGGTTACCCTACCTATGCCCTACCACTAAAAATTACATATTTAAATTAGGAACTATTAGTGGGGGTCTATGAAGTTACTCTCTATAATTAATATATAGCAACCTAAAAACAATTTTTTTTAAATTGAAGTATAGTTAGTTACAATGTGTTAATTTCTGGTGTACAGCATAATGTTTCAGTCATACATACATATACATATGTTTGTTTTCATATTCTTTTCCATTATCAATACTACAAGATATTGAATATAGTTCTCTGTGTAAAAACAATTTCTAAGAACAATAATAATAGTGGTAGTAATTGATGTCCATTTATTTAGTGCTTACTATTATGATAATCTATTCCCGGGTTCCACAGGAAAATGCGTATCTATTAATAGATTTTGAACTCTTTTCCTTCTCAAATTCCCAAGAGCCTTCTACCGCTGGTCCTCGATTTTTGAGTTTCAGTGATATTCTTGAAGGAGAGAGAATACAGAAGCCACTGATTATATTTTCCCTGCCTCTTTTCCCCTCCCCACCTCACCTTTGCTCTGCACAGATGTCCTTCTGGTCATTTCACATATGTATCTTTTATTCTCAAATGGATTGTAAACTCTTTAAGAGGAAGAATCTTGTGTCCTGAGTCTTTGACACTCTCCATAGCTTCCAACTTGATGCCTTCCCCTTGCCCCGTGCTAAGATTTTCCTACATGGTATCTACAGTTCTGTAGGCGGGTATAGGTTTTCTCAGAACATTTTTAACCTTCCTTGTCTTCGCTGTCATTACAACTTAGCTACTGATCTAATATTGCTATGATAGTTGGATTTTATTCAAATTTTAATTCCACATCTCATCTCAAATGGTAGATTAAACAATTGTTTTTAGTTATATATTTTCTCTTTCTTTAACTGGAGTGAAAATCTGGGTTTTTTGAGACAAGTTCTAAATCTGAAC